ACAAGAAAAATTAGAAAAAATTTTCTAACTGAATGATAATAGTAACAAAATATGTAAAAATCTGTGAGATGTAATGAAAGCAGTGCTTACAAGAAAGTTTATAGCTCTAAATGCGCATGCTAGAAAGGAAGAAAAACCTAAAATAAATAACTTTGGGTTCCATATTAAGAAGTTTAAAACAAACAAACCAAAAAAGTAAACCCAGTGTAAACAGAAGGAAGAAAATTTAAAAAAGAGCTGAAATCAACTAAATAGAAATCAAACAATACTGAAAATTAGCAAAGCAAAAAGCTGGTTCTTGGCAAAAACCAAAAAAAAAAAAAAAAAAATTATAAACCCTTATCTAAGTTCAGTAACAGAAAAAAGAGAAACAACCTTTATCAGAAAAGAGAGAAGTTATAACTAAAGTTCCTATTTAAAGGAACAAAAACCCATTGCTGTCGAGCTGATTCTGACTCACAGCGACCCTACAGGACAGGGTAGAACCACCCCATAAGGTTTCCAAGGCTGTAATCTTTACAGAAGCAGACTGCCACATCTTCCTCCCGTACAGCCACTGATGAGTTCAAACCACTGACCTTTTGGTTAGCAGCCAAGCACTTAACCATTGCGACACCAAGGCTCCTATTTAAAGGGATCATAGGGGAATAATATTAACAACTCCGTGCAAACAAATATGACAACTTAAATGAAACTGGTAAATTCTTTGAAATGTAGAATTTACCAAAATTAACACAAAATGAAAGAAAAAATATGAACAGCCCAATATTTATAAAACAAATTAACCTTATTATCAAAAATCTTTCCACCAAGAAAATGCCAGGCCCAGATGGTTTCCTTGTAAATTCTATCAAACATTCAAGGAAGAGATAACACCAATTATACATAAAATATTTTAGAAAACAAAGAGTTTTATAAGGCCACTGTAACTAACTTCAGTACTAAAACCTGACAAAGACATTACCAAAAAACGAAAGTAACAGACTAATATTCCTCATGAACACACACACAAAAGTACTTAATCAAAAATTAGTAAACTGAAGCCAACAACGTAGAAACAGGATAACACACCATGAAGAAGGGAGCTTATTTTAGGAATGTAATGTTGATTTAATATTTGAAAATTCTAATTAACATAAGATTTTTTTAAATTAGGCAAGCTGATGAAAAAATAAGTATGCATATATAAAGATGTAAATTCTAAAAAGGGAGACTAATGAAGGGGAGTAACCCTACCACATATTAAAACATAACATAAGGTTACAATAATTAAAACCGTTTTGTACTTGAATAAACGACAGATAAATAGAATGAAATGAGGAATCCAGAATAGACACAAATACACACGGAAAATTAATATTTGATAAAAGTGGCATTTCAAATCAATGGGGAAAGATGAAATATTAAATAAATGATGTTGAGACATCTAGCCGGCCATCTGGATAAAAAATAAAGTTGATTGCATACTGTGTTCCTTATGCAAAGCAAATTCTAGATAAAACATAAATGTAACTATTTTTAAAATGAAATTATAAAAATACTAGAAGAAAAACTGCAAATGTTATTTTATAATTTCAGTGTGAAGAACGTGTTTCTAAACAAGACATAAACTCAAAAGCCATGAAAGACTGATAAATTTGACAACCTAAAAATTAAAAATATTTACAAACAGTATAAAAGAACATCAAAAAGTCAAAAGAGATGTAACAAACTAGCGAAAAAAATATTTGCAACATATTTAGCAGATCAGGGGTCAAGTTCTTTGATATATAAAGAGCTCCTACAAATCAATAAGAAAAATGTCAATATGCCAATAGAAAAGAAATAGGCTGTGGTTATAAATAGGCAGCACACAGAAAAATAATTAAAATGGCTTTCTCCATAAGAAAATCACTTCCTTCAAATTATCATAATATAAACTAAAGGAAACATAATATGTACTTTTCTTTAACCTGTCTTGCTGGCAAAGTAAAAAAAAAAAAGTTCCTTATATGTATCACCTGTTTAGAAGGCAATTTGGCTATATGTACCAACATAAAATGCACATGATGTTTGACCTAATAATACCACTTCCAGAAATTTACATTACAGTTCATCTGTAAAAATCCTATAACCCAAAAAACCTATTGCCGTCGAGTCGATTCCAACTCTTAGCAACCCTGTAGAGTAGGACTGCCCTATAGAGTTTCCAAGGAGTGGCTGATGGATTCAAACTGCTGACCTTTTGGTGAGTCACCAAGCTCTTAACCACCGTGCCAGTAGCACTGTGGAGGTAAAGAAATGGATAAAAGCAAATACCTATCAATGGGTATTTGGATAAATAGATGATGGCTTAAAGTGGAATACTCTGCACTATTGAAAAGGCTGAGATTGACCCCTAGTTGTTGTCCTTGTAGCTGTTAGTTGCTGTTGAGTTGATTCTGCCTCAAGGGGTCCCCAAGTATGCAGAGTAGAACTGCTTCATAGGGTTTTCAAGGCTGTGACTTTTGGAAGCAGATTGCCAAGCCTGTCTTTCAAGGTGCTTCTGGGTGGGTTTGAACCAACCCTGAAGTAGCTGATGGCTTAACCATTCGCACTACCCAGGGACCTTGACCTAGAGCTGCCGATACAATAAACCCTCCAAGATACGTCATTGGGTAAAACCGCGTGAGCAGGAGATTTGATGCCATGCGCTCCCATTGGGTAAAACAATATATGTGAGTACACATATACTAAATATGTGCATATAAACACATGTATACACAGAAAGGCATTTTTGTTCTTATATATACACAGACCATTTCTGGAAAAAAAGAAAAGAAAAAAAAACACAAGAAACTGCTATCACCTGTGGAGAAAATGCTGGAGAACTGAGAAAGTCTGGAGTGAGAGACGTTTCCTGAAAGGAAACATTCTTTTTTGAGATTTATATATATTTTACAGTGTGCGTAATTACTGACACTGTTAAATCAACGAGCTCAAAAAGTTGATGATCTAAATCAATTAATCACTTGTTGCATCCATGAAAAGAGTAAATAAAAAATAGGCCTTTGATGCTGTAGGTAAGACAAACCAATCCCTTCATGAAGATGAGTTTTTTCTGTATTTTAGAAACATTTCCCAGTTCTCAGTATGTGCCAGGCCCTACGCCAGGTGCTTTAAGAACAACAAATATGGTACCTGCCCTCAAAGAGCTCAAACAGAAGAGCTCAAACCTAGAGTCTCAGAGAAAGATGGCTGCACTTCTGGACTAGATCTACAGTGTTTAAAAGAGGCAGTCACTTCCAAGACCATAACAAATACTTTACTCAATTCAGCAACCCTCCACTACAGACCTGACAGGTATCTTTGTAACTCTCAACATCTCCGAGACAGTTGATGGCTACTCATTCAGTTTCCAAGGAATATCCCAAAGAGACTTAAGAAAAACTCATTAACTGTCAGAGTCCCTGGATGGCACAGTTAACGGTTTGGTGGCTAACTGAAAGGTTGGCATTTGAGTCCACCCAGAGGCACCGTGGAGGAAAGGCCTGGTGATTTACTTCTGAAAAATCACAGTCATTGAAAGCCCTATGGAGCACAGTTCTGCTCTAACGCACATGGGGTTGCCATGAGTAGGCCTCGACCAGAGGGCACTGGCATGGTGATTAACCATCTTGGGATCTCTCTACTGACCTCTACAGAATAATATCAATTCCCTAATGCATTACACTTTTTCCTACCTCCACTCTTCTGTTTGTGCTATTCCTCCTATTATGTTCTTCAACTCTCATTCTCTTTCTTTGGCAAACTTATTGTAATAGATTGAATTGTGTCCCCTAAAAATATGTGTCAACTTGGTTAGGCCATGATTCCCAGTATTGTGTGGTTGTCCTCCATTTTGTGATTATAATTTTATGTTAAAGAGGACTAGGGTGGGATTGTAACACCCTTGCTAAGGTCACATCCCTGATCAAATGTAAAGGGAGTTTCCCTGGGGTGTGGACTACACCACTTTTTATCTTACAAGAGATCAAAGGAAAGGGAAGCGAGCAGAGATGGCGGGGGGCTCATACCACCAAGAAAGCAGTGCCCGGAGCAGAGCACATCCTTCAGACCAGGGGTTCCTGCGTGAAGAAGCTCCTAGTCCAGGGGAAGATTGATGACAAGGACTTTCCTCCAGAGCCAACAGAGAAAGCCTTCCCCTGGAGCTGACACCCTGAATTTGGACTTTTAGCCTACTTCACTGTGAGGGGAAACCCTGGTGGCGTAGTGGTTAAGAGTTTGGCTGCTAACCAAAAGGCTGACAGTTTGAATCCACCAGGTGCTCCCTGGAAACCCTATGGGGCAGTTCTACTCTGTTCTATAGGGTCGCTATGAGTCGGAATTGACTCGACTGGCAACAGGTTTGGTTTTTTTTGGTTTACTGTGAGGAAATACCAGTTGTGGTATTTCTGTTATAGCAGCACTAGATGACGAAGACACACTTGTTGTTGTTGTGGTTGTGTGCCATCAAATCAATGGCAACCTATAGGACAGAGTAGAACTGCCCCATACAGTTTCCTAGGCTGTAATCTTTATGGGAGCAGATTGCCAGACCTTTTCTCCCATGGAGCCATGGGTGAGTACGAACTACCAACCTTTCAGTTAGCAGCTAAGCACTTTAACCATTACATCACCAGGGCTCTTGGTTAACTCTTACCCAACCTTAAATGTTGGCTCAGATGCTTCTCCTTCAGGAAGGCTTCCCAGACTCTCTGCCACACCAGTTCATTTGCAAAACTTCCTCTGTGCTCCCACAGCTCTTTCTACCTTACATGTGACTATTCTCTTGTCAGCTTCTCTTATTAATGTGCAAGGGTATTTACAGTGTATCCTGCTGCCTCACATGGACTAGGAACTCAATGACTGACAAATTCAACTGTGGGACTTCACTGTTCTCCCCTGTATTCTCCCAGTGAACAGAACTGAGCTGAGTTTCATGACTGTTTCCCTGCATGACCCACCACATCGCTTTCCCAAGTCTAAGACATCAGACTCACTTCTCCAGCGACATCCCAGGGAAGGAAAACTTGCCCAGGCAGATGCGACAGATTGCATGCAGTGGGATCCGCTGCAGCTGCACGCAGCTAAGCATGATAAAGTCATATTTGCAGATGAAGAGAGTCTTGTCTGTGATCAGCACAATCTTCTCCTTTTCATTGTTCCAGTGGTCTATCCTGCAGGATAATCACAGAGAAGAAAAGTTAATGGCATAGCTTTCCCAAGTTAAAGATAATGGCATTTATTGAAATGTTTCTTCTGATGCAAAAAGGAGTGAAGTTTGATTGCCTCAGAGAAAGGCAGGACTGAGGAATACCTAACACCACCATCTTTTTCTCAGCCTGGTTCCATGGCGAGAGGAGATGGGAAGGTGGCAGGGAAAGGAAAGGCTTTATGACCACGGGGATCAGAGATGATTATCCTTAACCTGGAATCCATTAGGGGAGCACCAAGTTTTTATTATGGCGGTAGTCCAATGATCCATGTCCCTCCACACAGTGCCAGTTCTCTAGGAAAATGTAACAGAGCACATCTTCCTTCAAGGACACCAGAAACATTTCTTTTCACCAACTACTTTGTACGTAATCCCTGCCACAAACTTTACTCACTATGTTCTAACTTATGCTAATCTCCAAAGGTCACATTGCTGACAGGAGGTAAAACGAGGACTTGAGCACAGATTCACTGACTCCCAAGACATCACTGTGCTGAGCTCATCCCACAATGTCTTTGCGATAGAAATATAGTAGAACAGGTGACATAGGATTCTTATGAATTAAGCACAAAGTAGACACTACAGAAGTGTTTACTGGATTGATTTGCTTCAAATATGAGAGTCGTTCAGGACGTGCACGGGAAATTCTGACTGAGAGTTAAGACTTTCTCCAACAGAGAGAAGAAGAACGAATCCAAACAATGGCTTCTGGTGAAAAGGAATTGAGCGTGGTCTTTAGTTCTTCTCGCACACAGCACTTTACCGTCCGTCTATCATAACCTGTAGGACACAGCATTTCTCAGCATATATTAGATTGTTTTTGCGTGTGGTTTTTCCTCCCTAACAAAGTGAAAAGGATCGTTTGCGACTGCCTGGATGATTCACGTCAGAATCTTCAGTACCCAGAGGCAATCCAATGTATGGTCAGTATGGGCATCCCCGCGTCCTGCATTCTTCATGAGGTAACCCCAGTGCTACTCTTGAAATATAAACTGCATCGTATCACTCCCCTTCTCCCTTTATTCAATAGCATCCCACTGATATTAGGATCAAATCCAGAGTTCCCGACATGGACTACGGAGCCCTGTGTAGTCTGGCCTCTATCCAGCTCTCCAGCCTCAGCTCACAGCAGGACTAGAACACTCATTGTTCAAGTCATGGTTTAAATGCCTCTCATTCAAAGAGGATTTCTTACACTTCTATATACTTGTCCTCTTATTGCCCTCTCTAAAGGCATCCTGATCTTCCCATCCTTTGTGGCAATTCACATAGTTTGTAAGAAGGAATGATATTCAAAATGTTTAGCAGCAGGTACCACATAGGCTCCAACCAATCGGAATGGACACCTCAGTACAGTGAATAGGGCAATGCCAGCGAGTATGGCTGAGTATCAACCCTGCATGTAAGTATATGTAATTTATACACAGAGTACATATGTGTATATGTATACATATACACATACCTACATATACATACATATGTGTGTGTATACAATGTACATGTTCTATATGAATACATATGTAGTTCCATATATACCCATATATTATATATATATTATATTTCATGCATATTAAATGGAATGTATATATACATATATTCCATGAGGGCAGAGACTGTGTCTATAAAGATCCTGGTGAATAACCTATAATAAAGAAGTATTCGTGGAGTGAATAAATGAGTGCCAATCATAATTATTTTGGAGGACTCTGGTTGGGATGTTGAGAGTGAGGTGGAAACTTCCAGTTCTATCACTAAGTCTATAATACTGGACTAACCTTTTAACTTGTCTAATCTGTTAAACAGACACTATAGTAATACCTCAGAAATTTGTGGAGAGGATTAAGGAAAATAACCTACAGTCAGTGCTCTATAAATTAGATTTTTATGATTACTGGTAGAGACCTAAGTCACAAAGTGACTTTGGGCAACTCAAATCTATGCTACTTCTCGGTGCAGCTAAAGACAGACAGCAAGATGAAGTTAGGAGTGAAATCAATGGGAGGACAAAGAGAAGGGGACATAAAGGGGAGAAGATGACAGAGAAAGAAGCAGAAGCAAGAAAAAAGCAAGGATGCGGTCATTGACTGAGGCCATATTATGTGCTGGCCACTGCGTAGTCATAAGAGTTCTCTCTAAACCTCACCACAACCCCGTGAAGAAAGTTACATACAGTGTCACTCAGCTAGAATATGGCAGAGAGTCGGTGCTGTCATGTAAGGAAAAAGTGTAAAGTCTGAGAGGTGTGTGCTACATCTTAGCTCTACGATCTGTCCACTCCAGCCCACAGCCATACTCAACTCAAACTACACTGAGAGAAAGAGAGAGGATTCTTGATGGTCTTTTACACTGTCAGTGTGAATCAGAAAGAGAAGCGACTTTTCGTTTTGAAATGTCTTACCGGATCGCTATATAAATTTCTCTAAACACATCCTTAGCAGCAAGTTAGAAGCGGCTGCCTAATAAACCAATCCAATTTTTTCAGTTTTAAAAGAAAAACTAGCTTTTAGTTGAACGGCTTTTCTGAAACTTTCAGAGCCCCAGTATGAGATTTATTTTAAAAGGCAAATGATTCAGGAAAAGAGGATTCTTTTGAGGAACACAGAGTGCTCCGCTATGATATCACTCGCATAATTTTCATGTCAGGCATGTCTGAACTCAGTAAACACACAGGCTTGTAAACAGTGTGGGGTCACCGTCTCTAGCTCCTCAGTGGTATTTATTTAGACTTCGATCACACCTTCTCTCCAAAGAACTCAGAGAGAAAACATGGAGTTGTATATTCCTAATATTAATACTGTTGACGTTTGGGTGGTGATAACAGCAACAAATACAGGAAGGAGTAGGGTTAGCAATAATATGTTGTGTTTGTGCAGTTCATGAAAGTTTATAAAAACCAAACCTGTTGCCATCGATTCAGACTCATAGTGACCCTATAGGACAGAGCAGAACTGCCTCATAGGGTTTCTAAGGAATGGCTAGTGGATTCAAACTGCTGACCCTTTGGTTGCAGCCAAGCTCTTAACCACTGTGCCGCCAGGGCTCCCGTGAAGGTTTATAAAGTCCATGCATATCAGTGTTCTCCTGTACTCCTCATAAGTACCCTTTGGATCAGATGGGATTACCCTCATTTCAAAGGCACGGAAACTAACGTGCAGAGCCCCTTAAAATGATTTGCCCAATATTTTAGACCGAGCAAGCAGCAGTGCAGGGGCCTGAAACAGGTACTGAGACACCAAATCTAGACCACCCACCTCCCAATAGACAGCCCTGCAGTGTGGTGTGCAAATGTGGCGAAATCCACCTCTGGAAAGAGCTGATGCAATGGTGCACACCATTCCTGGAATTGCCCCTTCTGGAAAACTTATTTCCAGAAAATAACACTCATGATTGATCATCCCTTCCAAGCCTGGTCCTCTTCCTGTGTTTGTGTCTTGGGAAAGAACCCCTTCTCCATCCAGTTATGGAAGACAGAACTTAGGAGTCATCCTAACCTCACCCACAGTCCTGATTTCATATGGCCAAGTCCTAAACATTTTGCTCCCAAAACCTGTCTCAAAACCACCCACTTCTTTCCATCTCAGCTGTCACCATCCTAATCCAGTCTTCCAGCATCTCTGGGCTGAACCACTGCAATCACCCTCTCACAGGGCTAACAGCCACCTAGACCTAGTTTATCTGGTTTACCTACATCTACTCTTGCTGCCTTCCAATCTCTTACCATACAGTATCGAAGGGGGATCTTTTGAAAAGACAAACGTGGTCTTTCTCTTACCACCCCAGCTTACGTAACTCCAACAGCTCCCAATGGCTCTTGTGAGAAATGACATAAATTCCTAACCTGCTCTAAGAGGCCCTGCAGGGTCAGGTCCTACCTACTTCTTCAAGCTCGTTTCAGGCCAAGTCTCTCTCCACTCCATTTTCCTTGATCTTTCAGTTCTGTGAATTCACCATGAACCTTCCTACTACAGGGCCTTTGCACATACTATTCCCTTTGCTAACAATGTTCTTCCTGATCTTCTTCACCTAGTTAATGCCTACAGAGCTGAGCTCAATCACTCCTTACTCCAGGAAGCCTTCCCAGACCTCTGTGATGCCTTCTTCTCTTTCTAATATACACCTTCATTGTTCTTATCACCAATGCAATTTTACAGTTATTTGTATGACTACCTACTAAACGCCTTTCTCCTCTCCTATACGGTAAACTTCATGGAGATTGAGTCAGTTCTTACTCAGCATTGTGCCTCTAAGGTTGTAGGTTACCAAAAAAATACTTGTCAAATTAGTGAAGAATGAATAATCCCTGTGCTTTGCAACTTGTATGCCTAGGTTCATGCTGCTAGGGAAATCGCTATCCTTAGTTCTACACATTAAAATGCATACCCATCAAACAGGACATTTTCAAAGACTAATTAGAACATTGGTGAAATGAGTATGCCAGAATACTAAGTGAGAAAGCGCAGGATACAAAATATTACCTTCCGTATGCTTCCAATTTGTAACAACAGCAAACATACACAGATCAAAACGTTAATATCGATTATTTCTGAGTGGTGGAGTTTTAAATGGTTTTGATTTCTTTTCATGTTTTAATTTGCCAGAGGGTTTTTTTTTTTAATGAGTATGTTCTACTTTTATGATAAAAGACATACTTTTAAACGTACAAAAATTTCGCCCACCCTTCAAGTCCCAGCTTAAACGCTATTTCATGGAAACTTCATCTCACGGCGTCCTTCCCCCAAGTCTCTTTCATTTAGAGGCACCCAAGTCTTTATCTGTGCTTCAGTTTCTATACTACCAAGATTTCCGTACGTGCCCTGCCCATCCCCGGCAGTAAATGAGAGGCTGTCTAGGGGACAGTCTGTGCCTCTGCTATACCCAGGTCCTTTCACTGGGCCAGGGAGAACTGGTCTCAGCCAATCAGCAGGACACAGAATGAAAAAAAGAGAACGAAAGATTCCCTCC